CTTTCCGGTTTTGACAACGTCTTGCTGAAGTACGCTATCACGACCTATTGGTCACCATTCCGTTGAGACAACACACCGCCAAGTCCTATATCACTTGCGTCCGTGTCAACTATAAATTCTTTGCTTGCATCAAGGTATCCCAAAATAAATGTTTTGAACAGACGTTCCTTGAGCTCCTGGAATGCGATATTGCAACTTTCATCCCAGCAGAAATGTCGCTTCTCCTCGGTTAGCAGAGGTTTGGTTATATCTGCAAAGTTCTTCACAAATTGCCGATAATAGGAGCACAAACTCAAAAATGCTCTAACCTGCGTCTTGTCTTTTGGAACCGGCCAATCCTTGACAGCGGCGATTTTATCCGGATCCATGCGGATACCTTCTTCCGACACTACATACCCCAAAAAGTTGACTTGCCGTTTGAACAGTGAACATTTCTTCGGACTCAAATTGATGTTGGCACTCTGAATCTTCATGAGCACGCGTTCCAGGTTTTGATGATGTTCCTCAAACGTACGGCCCACCATGATGATATCATCCAAGTAGACCAGACAGGCATCGCCAATTAGCCCGATAAGTACAAGTTCCATCAGCCTTTCAAACGTTGCTGGAGTATTGCACAACCCACACGGCATTACTTTAAATTGCCACAGACCATTTCTCGTCGAGAACGCAGTTTTCTTCTTCTCCTTAGGGTCAATTTCAACTTGCCAGTAGCCATTTTTTAGATCCAGCGTGCTAAACCATTTTACTCCTGTAAGCATGTCCAGCGTGTCATCAATTCTTGGCAAGGGGTGCTGTCCTTCTTTGTAACGTCGTTCAGACGGCGGTAATCAACACAGAACCGCATGCTGCCATCCTTCTTTTACCAGCACCATGGGTGAACACCATGGACTAGATGAAGGTTCAATAACACCATCCTTCACCATTCCCTCAATCATGGTTTCCAATTCCTTTTCACGTGCTACCGGCAATCTTCTTGGCCGCCGACGGAAAGGCAATTCTTCTTCTGTGTTTATTTTGTGTTAACTAAGCTAGTCTTTCCTATGTCAGCATCGTTTGATGAGAATACATCGTAGTACTTCATTAACAACTTCTTCGCCTTAACCAATTCGTTCGGGGAGAGAACACTGCGACAGTCTTCCAAAAGTGTGGTCACTCTAGTTTCTGAATCCTTGCTGGGGGTCCCACTCGATATATATTGGCACCGACGTAACCAATCCACTTCCTCACAAGTAATCTGTTCCCGGTCACAAAGGTTCAGCACACGTACTCCTGAGATGTCAGTGGTCCTGACCAAGGTTCGAGCTAATTTCCATGGAAGGTCATTGTTTACCCTTTCCACAAGTACACAACGGTGAGATTGCCCAGCGTTTCGAGTAAGACTAACCGAAACAATCGCTTCCGATCTCGGCGGAAGAACAATCTTCTTAATGCTGTACACGTTCCCTGGTAACACACCTTCTATAAAAAGTTCCTCTTGTCCACATTTCAAAACACCTTGCTTAACGTCGTTCTCACAACAATTATTCCTCATAAAGTCTAGGCCTAGGATGCAGTAGTTCATTATATCAGCCACGATGACATTATGCAGGTAGATCAAGTTGCCTAGCTTCAACTCCATCTCCTTCTCTCCACGGACTGGTAGACGATGACCGGTGGCTGTTATCAAATTAATGCGTTCTCGGTTGTATGCGGAGTCCCCAAGAAACTGACTTATAAGTTGGGAACCAACAACCCTACGAGAAGCTCCAGTGTCTATAGTCAGTTTACACGGCATTCCGTTGACCTCGCCCTTGATGATTAGACTGTTCCCATCATGGGTTTGTGAGATCGAGATCCTTGGGGCTCTTGTAAGATCAGCCAGCACCCGCCCCCAGTTCTGGCTTTTACTCGTTTCCCTGCTGCTGCTGGGCGGTGCTGTTGGCCGCACTACCCTCCTGAGATCGTTCAACTTCCCTTTCGAGGTTCGCTTAGGACAGCTGGATCGAAGATGGCCCTTTTCCTCACAGCCATAGCACCTAGGGCTGTATCCTTTGTTGCGGTCACGAACTCTATCTGCTGCAACCTCCCTGATGCGATGGAAACGATGATCCTGCCGCACGGCTTCCACCTCTAGTGCATGGGCCAAGGCGTCCTTAAGCGTCTCGTGGTGCCCGAGCCTCACAGCAGCTCTGACTTACAGGTTTCAGATACCGTCGATGAATATCTGCACCAGGTTTCCTTCAATGAGCGCAGGTACAGACCGATATGCTTTTCGCTTCAGCTATGCTTTTAGCTTCTCCACCTCTAGGGCCAACTGCTGCAGATTTTCTTTGATGCGCTGCACGCGATCTTTAAGCTGCGCACGAAAGACGTGTTCCAGGTGAGCGTCGCCATATCTCGCCTCCAATGCCTCAAGGAGTTACTCATAAGTCACTTCCTCACCGAGAGCTTCCAGAACTGTTAAGGCCTGGTCGCGCAGGCCTAGTATGAGGGCAGTCATGTCCTGACTTTTATTCCAGCCGTTCGCCTTCATAACAGCCTCGAACTGGATTTTGTAGGCTGACCAGGAAGAAGTTCCGTCGAACGGTGGCATCTTGAACCCACGTAGCGCAGTTGTTGCAGCTACTACGGGAGCTATAATTCCGTCCCCCAGTTTAAGGTCGTCCAGCGTTTTCTTCACGTCAGCCATCACGTAATCAACCCGATTGTTCACTTGGTCGATTTGGGTTTTAGCTTCCTTGATTTGGGTTTCAACTTCCGACAGGCGGTTGTCATGTTGAGCAACCCTATCCTTCACCTCCCTTATCTCTTTCCCGAAGTTAGCTTGAATGTCCTTCACGAGGAGCATCTGCTCTTCCTGTCGGCGGGCCTGTTCCTCTTGTCGGCGAGCCTATTCTTCCTGTCGGCGAGCCTGTTCCTCCTGCTGCTCTTTCAACCAACGGGCCTGCTCCTCCTGTCGGCGAGCCTGCTCCTGCAGTATCACCATCAGAGCACCTAAGTCAGGTGCTGCAGATGTAGGAGCTACTGACGGCCCTCCGACGTCTGCGGCGTTGCACCACCAAATTTTCTTTGGTCCGTCTCCTGCTGGCGTTGACTTCGGGTACGGACACCCTCCGTTTCCTCCTTAGGTACAATCGGCATGATTATCCCACTTCTGACACCAATTGTTACGAGCTTGAGGTTCGTGATAATAAAAATTGCCGATAGAATTACCTAAATTAACACTTTAATTCACTTTACACTAATTAAACTTAAAACACTAATAATTGATTACACTGATTCACTTTATTCCGCTTCGAAGCTTCGCTTGTCTCGCCGAATTCAATACTTCCCCGATCGCATCTTGCAGCGCCTATAAATACAAGTTAGCACCGAAACATCCAGAATATTCATAATACGCCCAAGGGGCCAAGAGTTCGAGTGTCAACTTTTAGAAGCTTAGTTCTTCGGTTCGAGACTTGATTGCGCTGTCGATTGAAAGATTAGTGATGCCATTTTCTGGCAAGCACCCCTCGCTCTCGTCCTTGACATTAGATGGCGCTAGTGCCGGATACATGACATTGACTTATTCGCGCAACAATATTATGTTTTTCACCTGATTCACCCTCTCCCTTTGATATTTGACACATTCTGTTAGCATATATTGCACATCCTATATATTATGAAAAATATATAATTGGTCGAGACTGTTATACTATACATTATATATAATTTTTAATATTAAGACTGACTTTGAATTGCTTTACACCAAATTCCTTTTCCTCTGCTTATTTTATCGAAATACCCCCTAAATTTATTATAACAAATATTTTTGAATTTTGTCTAGGTTTCCGTGTAAAAATATGTTTAATTCAATTTCCTGCGTTACAGCGGATTTTTTAAGAGAGTTCGAGTGTCAACTTCTAGAAGCTTAGTTCTTCGGTTCGAGACTAGATGGCGCTGTCGGTTGAAAGATTAGTGATGTCATTTTCTGGCAAGCACCCCTCGCTCTCGTCCTTGACACTAGATGGCGCTAGTGCCGGATACATGACGTTGACTTATTCGCGCAACAATATTATGTTTCTCACCTGATTCACCCTCTCCCTTTGATATTTGACACATTCTGTTAGCATACATTGCACATCCTCTATATTATGAAAAATATATAATTGGTTGAGACTGTTATACTATACATTATATATTATTTTTAATATTAAGGCTGACTTTGAATTGTTTTATACCAAATTCCTTTTCCTCTGCTTATTTTATCGAAAAACCCCCTAAATTTATTATAACAAATATTTTTGAATTTTGTCTAGGTTTCCGTGTAAAAATATGTTTAATTCGATTTCCTGCGTTACAGCGGATTTTTTAAGAGAGTTCGAGTGTCAACTTCTAGAAGCTTAGTTCTTCGGTTCGAGACAAGATGGCGCTGTCGGTTGAAAGATTAGTGATTAGTTTCGTTTTCCTTTAGACCTATATGGGATAGAATGCATAGCAATTTCATATTTATATAGTGACTACTGTAATTATATAATTATTTAATGTCTCATAAGCTATCGGTGCATCTCTGCTATAAACAAAGGCGCATCGAGCTAGGAGTTGTAGAACGCTATTGCTATCCGAAAAAAATATCAAAGTTTTGTTCACATAAATTGTTCAACGAGTTAAATCTTCGTTATCGACGATCCTATTTCTTTTCGAAACATAAATGCAATTTTTCTTTATGATTTTAATACGCATATCTTAAGCTTACATGATTTTTGAATTTTAATTTTGGGCCTATTAGCATATTTTTATATTATATTAATTTTTTAATATGTTGGCTCTGAGACACATAGCTTCATAACAATTTTTTGTCTTTTGATCAAAATTCAAATTTACTTGAATAATCTCATTTGTATTTAGGAAACATAAATGTTAAGTTTAACATATAAGTTTAAGTTTGTTTTTTTCTAACGGTATTTTACGAACCCATATGCTTAATGTACAGTTTCAGCAAGTGCTAACAAACCTAAGTAAAATATCATATTACTCACCTCTGTACGGAACGTAAATATTTAAATACAAGCAGTCTTCAGATTCTTCTTTCAGAAACAGTTTCAGTCTGCTCATGTAATTTTGTCTTCCCAGCGACGGTGGATCTCCTTTCTTTATGATAGGCAGTGACTGAGGGCATACTGGTGCAAAGCGAGTGGCCATCTTCACCCCTGACCATGGTGGAGCATTCACTACAAAATTGCAAAAGGTTTTCAAATAAGCACAACATTGAATTTTGTATTTCGTGACTTAATAAACTATCGGTCTGTAGGGCCCAAACGCTGTGAAGTTCTTATAGAAACTATGTCCACTACATGTGTCCCCACTAGTGACAAGAAAGTTTGTTCTTTTCTCGCTCAAAAGCTAAATATAGCCTTTCAGCGGGGAAATGCAGGCAGCCTTCTTGGGAATATACGGCGGGGAGTAAGGCTGTATGACGATTTTGGTCTTTGTTTTAGATATATATATATAAACACTCACGCCTGTCACCCAGAGGGGTAGGCAGAGACTACAGACTTCCATTTGGCACGATCCTGACACACATCTCTCGCCTCCTTCACATCCATACACCTACGCATACATGCTCGTCGGTTAAGGATACTCCTAATTTAGTTTTCAATAAATCGCCAATTTGGTCGATAAATTTTCGCCTAGGACGTCCCTTTCCGACTCTGCCATTCACTTCTGCAACATAAAATTTCTTTGTCACTCATTCCTCATTCATTCTTTCCACATGACCAAACGACCGATGCATTTCTTTCTTAATCCTGGTCGCAACATCATCTTACAAACCACACTCTTCTCTTATTACACAATTTCTTACCCTGTCATTCAGATTCTTAGCCCTAACATATTCCTTAACGACCGTATTTCTACTGCGTTGATTCTACTCTCGTGCTTCTTCTGCCACACCCAACTTTCACTACCATACGTTAAAGTAGCGACCAACACAGCATTGTGAATTGCCATACGTGCCTTTTTTGACACATTTTGACTCTTCACAATAGAGTGCAGGGCCCCATTTACTCTATTTCTCGCATTCACTCGTCGTTCTATATCCTTATCATATCTCCCATCCCTGCTAAATACGCAACCCAAATATACAAACTCATCTACTTGCTCGATCAACTCCCCTTCTATTCTTATTTCACAAATCGTTTTACTTTCTTCTCTTTCAAAAACCATAACCTTCGTCTTACTTGTGTTCACTTTCATACCCCTTTCTTTTAATGATCTTTTCATTAATGTAACCATCATTTGCAACTCGGCCGCTGACGACGCAAGGATAACTTGATCATCGGCGTACAAAAGGCATTTCACGGTTAACTCACCCATTCTTAATCCGCATTCTTCAACTTTCAAATTTTGCAAACAACTGTTCATAAATAGGTTGACCAGCCACGGGGAAGCTACACAGCCCTGTCTGACACCTTTATGGATGTCAAACCAGTCCAAGTAGACCCCGTTGATCCTAACACAAGCACTAGAGTCCCTATAAAGAGACTTCAATGCCTATATCAAGCCAGCGCTCAACCCAAATGAGTTCAGTGTTTGCCATAGCACATCCCTATCCACTCTGTCATAGGCCTTTTTCCAAGTCCATGAACGCACAAAAAACCTTTTGGTTTTTGGCCAAAAACTTCTCCGCGATCATGCGCATGGAAAAGACTTGATCTGTACATCCCATTCCCTTTCTAAATCCCGCTTGCACATCCCAAATTTTTCCACCAGTTTCTTTCATGACCCTTTCAATCAGTACTTTAGCATACATTTTTCCCACAATGCTAAGATGGCTGATGCCACGGTAGTTTTTATAGTCCTGCTGCGACCCTTTTCCTTTATATACTAAGACTATCACGGCTTTGCACCAGTCTACCGGTACCCGCTTCAGTTCCCAGCATAAATTAAACAAGATGTGCAGCAGGCCTGCCACGACTTTCTCTCCATCCCTTAGCATTTCGAGTGAAACTCTATCATATTCGGCAGCCTTACCTGCTTTCATGCTTTTCATTGCTTTCATTATTTCATCTATACTTATCTCGCTACCTCTTTCCTCTTCTTTCGGAGTTTCTACTTCACTTAGTACACACGTTGTCTCCTCACTCATAAACACGCTTTCAATATATTCCTTCCACCTCTTTAAACTCAAAACTTCATCATTCAGAATATAGCCATTCTCGTCTCTTATAGCATTCATCATAGGCTTTTTTGAATGTCCCCAGGCAGTTCTTACAAGTTTCCAGAATATTTTAATATTTGTCTGGAAGTTATACGATATTCTTTTAACATTCTTATCCGTTCTTTCTTGCTTTTTTCTTTCAACTACTTCTTTTACTCTCTTATTGAAATGTCTCAAGACTGCCTTTTTCTTTCAATATCATCATTCGTACCGCTAGAATTACCAGCCTTTGGTACTAGTAAATCTAGCCATGCTCTCTTCTTTGCTTCAACTTCCATACTTACCTCATCATACCACCATAACGTATTACTTTTCCTTTCATTCTTTCTCTTACTAACACCACATACTTCGGTAGCTGCATCCACTAAACCTTTCTTTACGTTTTGCCATACATTCTCCAAGTCTAACTCCTTCATACATAATTAATCCAAACCACTTATATTTTCTTTCGGTCTACATTTGAACTTGTTTTTCTCAACTTTCTGTTCTAATACGCTGTAACGCAGTGGTAGACACAGATGATCGATGGCGCCAACGCCTGAATAGACCACTAATTCGGCATAAAACCAAATAATGATCGGTTCCTTCGTTAGAACCCCGGTAAACCCTTGTATCTATCACTGCGCCCCTCAATCTTTCATCCACAATTATGAAATCTATCATGCTTCTATCGTCACCTCTTTCCCAAGTATACATGTGAATCCTCTTGTGGCGAAAGCAAGTGTTCGTCACAAAATGATTCTTTTCCATACATACGGTGAGGAGACTTTCACCATTCTCGATTATACTTTCATCACCAAACGTTCCCAATATCCTTTCATAACCAAGCCTCCTCACCCCAACCCTTCCATTAAAATCTCCTAGCATAATAATATTTTCATTTCTCTTACACTTCATTAACACCATCTTTACCTTTTTCCAAAACTGCTCTCGGGTATAAGTGGGCTTAGACATGTCTGGGGCGTAGAACCCTAACACAAACAACTTCTTTAAGTCCACTTTCATTCGTATCCATAGCAGTCTTGGGCTTACACATTGATAGATAGATAGATGATACCTACTCCCTGGCATGCCCGCTCGATCCCGTCTACACCAGACCAGTATGCGGTATACATGTCATGTGTAGTGACATCCTTCCCCTTCCTTTTCGTCTCATTTACACATAACACATCTATTCCTCTATCATACATCATATCGCATACTCCATCCATTTTATCATTCATTGCCCCCCCCATACATTCAACGTAGCCAAACGGGCCTCTGCAATCCACTTTTCGCCTCTCCGGGAGACGGAACGTGACGGGTGGCGAACCTCGTCGCCGTCTTTGTTTTCTCTAAATATATAATAAATATTGTATTTTTATGGTATGTATTAAATTTATATAAAAACCATTGAATAACATTATAAGAAGTCATGTGAAGTAGAGTGCGATCCAAGCCAAATGTGGCTGTAAAGTTGGGGGCAAGGTGTTGCGCAATGGCAAATTTTGGCGCACACGTTCGCGCTGTTGCTCGAGTACAGTCAAGTTCACAGTCACTGTTGGTTTTGTTGTTAATTATACCTATGTGTTGTTAATATTTTTCTGTAGTAGGTATATTTAAATTAGAAAACAAATCTTTTGTAGAAGTTATGTGAACATTGACTTGCTATTTTCATTAATATTTTCATATTTCACCGCTCGTACATATTATTAAAAAATAATATTTAAACAAATAGTCAACTAAGAATGTATATTCTATATATGATTTGAGTAATAATAACGATACTATAATATTTTATATCTCACATACATCATGTAATAGTAGGTATTTTATATTTAGAGTAGATGCGTAGACTAGGTTTGCGTGGGACTGTGCCTGAGCTATTTCTATGTTTTACTAACAAAAGACATTATTTTTAATGTAAATTTCACAGCCACTTTTTAGTGTGACTGGAATAATCGTAATAAATTCCTAAATACTTACTTGTATTTTACATCGAATACCTTGAATAAATAACAAGTTAGGTTAATAAATATATTTTATTTAAAAAATTGGATTGACGAACGCACAAACCACTTGATTTCAGTGGTTACGGTCCATAGATAAACGTAACCAACCTTAAACAAAGAAGGCTGCAGGTGTGTTGTCACTTCTGAGGTGTAAAACGTCATACTTCATAGTATCTTATTTTATTGGCTCCCTATACCCTTCAAAGTTAACACTGTTTGGCGGCTGTAAGAGGGTGGTATCAACTCTGACAGGACTGCAGAAAGATAGTTACGTCATGGTGCAGAGAGATAGGTACATGGTAGAGCCACGCTGCAGCTATATCATGGTTGTAGAATGAACGGGTCGGCTCGACCGGGAAAGAACCACGCTCTTACAGAATACCAGCGTAAAATAGCAGGTTAATACTACTAGGTTTCTTAGGGTGAATGTTAAGATCCGGAGACCCTTTTTTATTGGAAACGAGGTATTCTATCTTAGTCCTCAGGGTTGACAACGCATCTGCGTTTTAGTTCTTAATCGAGGATAAATGTAGATGTCTATGGGCCACAGCATCCACTTACCATCAGGTGGACTGTGTGCTCGTTTTCACCCTCATTCTATAAAAAAGATAGTTTTAACACCTAGTCAAAAAAGTAAACCACTGTTTTTTATATTAAACCAATTGGTTCCGTAAGACAAGACAGTGGGAAACTGAAACAGGAGCTGGGCAGCAACATTTTCCTGAAAAGAATGCAGTAATAAAAAAAAACGCTTGCCAAACGTGTCAATTATGACATATATCCTTGAAACGTTTCTCACAAAATACCAGCGCAAAATAGTAGCTTAATGCTGCTGTGTTTCGTATGGTGGGTTTAGAGATCCGCCGACCCTTTTTACTGGAAATGAGGCATTTCATCTTAGTCCTCACGGATGACAACGCATCTGGATTGTGATTCGTAATCGGGGCTACATAAAGGTATATGGGCCACAGCAACCACTTACCATTAGGCGGACTATGTGCTCGCTTGTCAACCTGTCCTATAAAACAAAAGTTCTTCTTAATATATGGGCAATCTATGGTAGAACCTATGTTAAGCAACTAACTCTTTGACATGCTCTAATAGATGAATTATTATGATTTTGTCTATTTTATCTATTTATTCAAATATTTTGTTATTTTAATGAAATTTCATAATAAAATATCTTATAGTTTAGAATTTATTATTATTAATGTTTGTGATGATTTGCAGTAATGAGGAGTACAATGTACTTTTACTTCAAACTACCTTGTCCATAGTATCTTGCGAATAGGTTTTCAAGAAGAAAAAAGGAGGCATTATATGAGGAAAACAGTTGGAAAATTGAAAACTGAAATATTGTAGACTGGTAATGGAATGAAGCATCACTATTTTGAAGGTATCTCCGAGCTCATTGAGATAGTATAATTTAAGAAATCTTCTGGAAAGTCGGCTGTGAATATTCTTGACACGACCTATGTGCAATTAAGAATTTGTTGTTTACGACAAATGTTTTTGATTCTGATTTGCATCTTATTATTCATTCTCTGTTTATGTAATAATTAATTATTAGAGTCCACTATGGTGGCATTGATGTAGAGTAATTAATTCATTATGCATTATTTGAATCATAGTATTACCTCATCACTAATATATTAATCATCATTAGCATAATAATCCTTTCTTCTTGCTATTACGTTATTCTGCCACTTGTATTTAGCTAAAAAATATTTTAATCATTAACTATATGCCTAATGATATCAAACTATGCTTTTAATATTTAAATAACTATTGATTTAATATAACAGTAAGTATAAGCAGTTTTTGTCTTTTATAATTATAAACCTGAAGACAAAATTTATGAGAAAGCTCCATTTCATTTTAATTTTAAATAATATTGCGCGAAACATTTTCTACTTGTCGGCTAAAAAATCTGACGTATTTTACAATTTGAATGCCTTTATTATTCAAAGGTTTGAGTTTACTTTTCATTTCTATGTAAATTTTTTCTCTCTATTCTAAATGACTTTTTTAAATATTTATTTGTATTCCCTTAATATTTATTAGATGTTTGAATTGCCTCCATAATTACTAAACCGTTGAGATGAATTCTGTTTAAGAATCTGTTAATGTTGAAAGAGCGTCCTGAATAACAATAGTTTCATTATTTTCTTATAAATATGGCTTGAGTTTTACTAATTATAAACACTTAGTTAAATATATTGTTTCCTTTAATGTGTCTTCGGTTAATAACCTACATTGTTTTTGATACATATCATTATAGCTTTGAAGAACTAGAAGTGGAAGCAGAAACCTTCTTTACGACGGAGAGCCGCAAGAGCAGTATTTTAGTTTTGAAAAAGGATTTGGAAAAATACTTCAAATATTGATATTGAAAATTTTGAATGACTTGTTATTTTAAGCGTTACGTAAGTCTTGTGGAAAGTAAAACATTATGTTCTGAAAATAAATAGGTTATAATAACAATTTTTGAACAAATTACCTGGGGGCATAAACCTTAAACTTCCAACTGGTGCAGCCGCATATGGTATACCTAAAAAAACTTCTACGTGCTGTAGATCATACTGCCGTCCTGGTTTCACTATTAACCCACGCAGCGCTCCCTGTCTCAGATGGTACTCTCTCGTTAATCTCTTCTCCTCATTAGGAAAATTGCGTGAGTTTTCGTATACCTTCGCTGCGCCTTCGTTTACCATCGGCAACAAGAGCGAGATGGCAACAAAAATAAACATACTGTGATATATAAATGGTGTCGCGTGCCGGGCCGGAGCCATTTTGTTTATGTCCGTCGAAATGTTCGCTTTTTAGCGCGCGATCTCAGAATAGTCAGGATTTTATTGTTTCGTTTTGCTCTTTGGTTTTATTACCGTTGGATGAGGACGTGAGTCACGTTTGAACCTGACACGATACTGAAGAAATATTTGGAATGAAAATTTTATGATAATTATACATACGAGTACGTAAATTTTCAAAACATTGAACTTTGCACACCAAATATCCCTAGTCGTGTAATATATAATCAAAACTAAAAACAATTTGTGATGAAAAAACAATGGATATAGACTTTTATAAAGTCGTCGTTATTTTTCAAACTAATAATTTTGTATAATGCACCGACAAAAATCATGGAAACTGCACAGTTCAGAATTGTCTTAGTCACATATTTTCACTATTTTTTCTCGCCAATTAATCATTTTAAAATTGTGAAGTTCACTTTAAAAAGCCGTATCGTTTGGTTAATTTACGTTTTCTTTAGAATAATATTTTTTCACGTTTCACACATAGTTTTTATATGAAATGCGCTATCCACTTTCACGATCGATATGTAAGTGCGCGCGCGACTGGACCAAGTCCAAACTGTCGCCGCGTATCTAGTACCGAAATACTACAGAATGCGAAGCAGAGGGGAGAACATAACAGGGACTCACTCAGAGCATGTGAAATGTTCTAATATCGATAAATATCACAAATGTGATTTTTTTGAGATCTGTTCGAATGTGTTCGCAATGAATTATTTATATGTATATTAATTTCCGCTGTTTATATTTTCGTAATGGCATTAAGTAATATATTTTATTTTAAAAATATAAACATTGAAACATGGATTTTACTAATAAAGAGTATTTAAATACTACTGAAATAGAAATGACCTGTTAAACATGACACATTATGATGATAATAGTGGTGCAATCTAAGGATAATCTTTACATATGCGCAAAAACTTTCACGCTTTGAATACTTTAAGATATAAATAGATAAACATTGTTTCCAGCTTACAAGTATACATTTAATTCTCCCATATGATCGGAAGTAGGCCTGGTTGAGTGTAAGAGGTATACATGTATACTCGAAAAAATAATAATTGTCTTTTTTATATTTAATTCATCCTGAGATACTTATCCATAACTTATGATTATTTTGACGTGGTCTCCAAATATTAACAGTACTAATTAAATAACAAAATAAAAAATGTTTTTTATAAAACTGGAGTATTAAACGAACTTCCAGTTCACCGGATACTACAGCTCGTAGACACCTGATACCAACTTCAAACAAAGAGAGGGTGTAGCCGTGGAAAGAGAAATGAAAGTTCTCCCGTCGAGCAAGGTGTTCTGCACGGGGGGCAGCCAATGCTCCGTGTAATAGTTTTGAGCTATTCTATATTTTATACTGTTTTTATTTTGGAACTTTGATAGCACGATTTAGGCTTTGATATATTTTCGTTTGTGGCTCGACGACAGCGCCGCCACAAGGGCTACAGATGCGTTGTCACCTCTAAAAACTAAAATGGAATGCCTCACTGCCTGTTTTGATACTGGCTCGGTATACCCTTCAGACTGGAGCACAGCAGTGCAAGCACTACTATTTGGCGGCCCAAATAAGTAAGAAGATAACACCTATTTAGACGAATTTCTAAAATGAATTTCCGGTAAAAAGAACCTTATTTCAAACTGTAGTATTATATATGGAGTAAATAACAAATACTTGACAAAAAATGTTAAATTTATCAATTAAAAATTATACAAAATAAATATAAAAAAATTTAAAAAGACCCTTGATAGACCTTGATATTGCATGTTGTATATTTGTACTAATATATTACTTAATTATGTTTTAAGTAAAAATATTATGTTATAATGGCTTATGATCGACATCTCTTTATATATCTCTATTCTTATGTAACGCTGTGTTCTTAATAAATAAAAAAGAAAAAAAATATTATCTCCAGACAAATCACCGAAAGCCAATCTCACATACGGGGACAAACGCTCTAATCTCGCTGCTATACATGCGTGTATTTTCAGCGCACGCCACGTGCTCCCTGTGCCCGCGGTAAACATCCGGACGCCGGGTGAGGAAACGTGGCACTTTAAGCTATCTTTTCTTTATTCTTTATTATTTGGATAATTATAGTGTGAAGTATAATAACGCAAAATAGTCCTATATTCCAAGCCGCACTAATTGCATCGAATTTAACAACCACCATTGATTTGAATCGAATAATATATCATATTAAGTAAGTTAATTGAAAGTCATGTCAACTAAAATATTTTTTATTTTTAAAACTGAAGTAAAAAACGAACCTACAATCCACCTGATTATAAGCCGTTGTAGCAGTCCTTGGACACCTGCTGCCTACCTACAAACGAACAAACAAACAAAGTAGAAGTAGTCTAATAAGAGTAAGTCTACAAATGAGTTGTGAACTCTGAGGACTAAGATGGAAAGCCTCACAACTTGTAATTACAATGACTTCCTATACACCATAATGTAAAACAGAGCATTGCAGGAACTGATATTTGTCAGCTCAAACAGGAAATATGGTGGATATCAGACATACTCCTAGTCAGAAAAGAAGTTTATATAGTAACAAATAAACGAACTTATGGTTAAACCGACGAAATTAATAACGGGATCATAACTTTAAACAAAGAGATATCAGAATACCAAGAGTGGAGACACGTAACACCTTCCCGGTCTGATGAAGAAAACAAAAATCGGTATTAAATTGGTACGAAACCTTAGTGAAGAGAGTACCAAAACGTTTTCAAAGTAATATAGTATATAATAATTAATAGTATAAATTTTTAATCGCAATGTTGCAAAAAGTTGTACATAAAATAAATTATAACCAGACTATTTATAAAAGCAAAACAGCTAATCTATCTTATAACTACAACTATTATATTCTTAATTTGTTTATGTTGTGTAATTTCCTATAAATATATTTTATCTGATGGTTGAAAAATTTGCCATTAGTATTTTATAAAATTAATGTGTATAAAAATTCAAAGTATATAATTTTGTTAAAGAGTATACAAGATAGTTATTATTATACTAATTAGGTCGTTTAAATAGATGGAGAAGATGTATTAATTTCATAGTAACATCGGGCTAGGATCTAAAATAGTCGCCAAAACTGTCAACGCTTATTAAACCAGTGTCATTAGAAAAGAGGTTGACAGTTGACAAGCTGCTTTTGCGTGTTGCTCGAATTTTAAATGAAGTTTAAAAATAGAGTAATATATATTTCTACTTCTAACAAAGCAAAATATTTCTGATACTTACATTTTGTATTATGCGTATATCAAATAATATAAACTGATATGGTGATGTTGTGAAGCGACGCTCTCCCTTCCCTCCGCGACCAAAACTTTGTCAACGGCGGAGTCATAGACTAGATTCGCCACTGGAATCAGGAAGGTTGGTGCTCCCGAGTGCTTGACTTTCCTGGCTTTTTGGCCACCGCGTACCGGGTTTGGGGGTCAGCTGCGCAAGTGGAGTTAGAGGTCCCGAAGGAAGGCGCAACTAGTGTTCTGGTGCGCTTTACCTGAGGAGAGGAGAAGTTATTTTCCCCCGAATAGGGGCTGCAAGCAGACAACTGGTGCTGGTGGGATTAAGAATGTGTGAGAAAGCATCCCCGTGGCCTTGCCAATATTCGGCGTAGCTGAAACACCATGGGGTTTTAGTCTTTAGATGCATAAATGTCCGCAAAATTCCACCGCTGAAACACCACCGCAGAAACAACTAAACTAGTTTATTCGTACTATTCTCATAAAGTCAAAATTCATATTTTACTACGTAGAAACGAACTGACACTGAAACTACATTTATTTTGCAGTAACAAGTAGCAGAATCATAACAGCAATTTATGGTTTCAAATCCTAGAGTCTCTAAGATATATATCTAAGGAAATTTATATATTGTTTTATATATATCTTAATAAATTTTCTAAAATACAATGTAAAAAAATATAAGTAGTTTAAAAATAATTCTAAGTAATAAATTAGTACGTGGGACACTCAATAAATTTTGAGAAATACAAAAAGTATTCTAGGTACTATTAATATTTATTTTTATCATATTTAACTGTCCTTCTGAGTAAACCCATACCGATGATTGCGTTTTATTTTCCGGATCATATTGATAGATCCATGTCTGATCACCAGTAACGATTTGGAAACACGCTTAGATGCCCCCTTTTCAAAACGTAGACGCATTTCATGGCACCAATCCACACGAGTCTGTTTTTCGCTTTCGGAGAGCAAACGAGGGATCCATCGACAAAAAAGCTTCCTCACTCCAAGATGTTGATGTAGGATGGTATAAATGCTCCCCGAACTAACCCTTAAAATCTTTTAGATGTCCGTATATGTGATTCTTGGGTCTTCTCGCACTAACATTTCAGTAGTCCATACATTTTCTGCCGTTACTGCTGTTTGCTGGGGCCCCGGTTCTTTGGTCATATTTAAGGTTAATTTTACCCCTTTTGAATTCAGGAAACCAACAAAAAATTATTGCGCGTGATGTAAGTGAGTCCCCTTATGCTGATTGTAACCGTTGTAAATTTAACTGTTCAGTTAAACCGAATTTAAAATCATAATGGATCATAGCGCGCAAATGTTGTCGTTTAAGATACATCGTTGTAAATGTAAAGCGAGGGAAGTGTTGCAGGAAAATTAATAGAACTTTGTTTTTTTTTTAATATTGAGTAATTGATTTACATATGGAGTTTCATTTCTAAATAAATTTGATTTTTAAAAACTTATAACACGGGTGGATTTCGTTTTTAAATTTCGAGCATCTCTAAACTCATCGAGTGACCTAGGTATATTACGGTACCAGTTCCTCAACTCCACAGTCTTATGAAGTTGATTTAATTTATTAAACAAAGATTATATAAAACCCATGATAG